AGGTAAATGTGATAAATACTTATATAGCATAGCAACTTCACATTTATGAACACATGTCCATGGATCCGTGAATGATCAAGGCATATTTTTAAAAAAGTTAAAATATTCTTTATTGAATGTGGTATTTATTTACAATTAGAGAATCGTCAGGTTTCTAAAGCTTCAAATACATAAGATGAAAATGAATTCATCTAAGTTATTATTCAAAATGATTCGCTTATTGATCAGTATTGCATTGTATCATAGCAGTAACAATGTGCACATTTTATTTGAGAATCAATGAAAAAGTTCTTATACATTTATCAGTAACGATTAGGTCCACATAAGCATGAAAACTTGATGATAATATTCACATTTTTATCCTTTCCCAACTGTGAAGGAGTTGTCTTTAAGTAAAATAGTTTTTATAGATGAATCATTTCGTACAAAGTATCCCAAAGCTTGCTTCCTAAAAAAAAACTTGGATATAACCCCGTCAACGGCGTCTAGAATAAAGATTTATCGCTGAACTGAGACCGATTCGGTCTCTTTGACTATTACAGGCAGCTCAGATGCATCAGCATGATCAGAATGCATTGACATCGACTCAATTCTGTCAGTTTTAATACACTTCAAAGGAATTCACTGATTTTTATACAATACGCCGTCATACTCCACTTTCAAAAAATATCGGCAGTTTTTGTCAAATTCGAATCACATTGATTATTCGAAAGATGGTTTCCATAATGCGTATATGTGCGAAAATTGCTTAAGTTTTCTTACTATTCTCATCAAGACAAATCGTTCTTTTCTAATGGCATTAATCAGTTTTCCTCTTTTATTAATATAGCTTGTTCTTTAGATACACTACTTTATCAATAGCATAGATTTTACAAAATAAATGTATTTTATTCAGTTAGAACATTTCAGAAAAGTTAAAATATTAGAATAATTTTATAATTTTAGTTATGAGATAAATTATTTTAAACTCAAACATCTTGACTGAACATATTTAGTTCCGAATATCTATTTAAAATATTCTAATATTATTATCTAGTGGAAAATATTTCTTTGTATTCTATTATTAACAAATATGTTGGATATAAAGTATTGAAGTTCTAGTCCACTTTCCCTATAAAAATTGCACTAAGTGAATAAATAATGTAAATATATGTGTCAGGCAAAGTTGAGATTTAGGCTAAATCAAGCAGAGCTTTTAAAAGATTTAGAAATTAAGAAAATCGAAAAAGATGAGAATAAAGAACTGATATATTAAGTTATGTTTAACTTTAATTGAAGTTTATTTAAATCTAGGAAGTTGTAGAGTTTACCAATATACTGAAATTAAGTTTGTCTTAGCAACGTTCAACCAAAAAAAATGAATTTGAATAGCTTTTCTTCATTTTAATCGTATTTTTCTTATTTTTCAATTTATTCTTGATACATTTGGTATGATAATTAATGTAATAATATTCACTTCTGATTTACTTCTTACAAAGTCATGTTTATTTTATTTTTGAACATTATTAATCAATTATTCATTTGCAAAGACTATTTCTTTTCAGTAATTAGATATTTATCCATTAGATTCAAAATTAATACTTCATAAATTACGAATATCGGTTTTTTTTATTCATAGACATGCCCTAGTATTGTTGCAAGTATTGATCAATTAATTCTTCGTAGTTATCATAATGTTCGTTGTCTTCATTTGAGTAATTAAAAAATAGAAAAAAAAATTCTGAATAGTATTAATTATTTGTTTTAATTCTCTTCTTCCCCTTTCCTCAGTTACTGGAGTGATCATATGTAGAACGATCGCAGAAAATAAAGAAAGCATGGAATTAAAAACTTTGGGAACATGTCTTATAGTGAACTCCATAAACTATTCATTGATAAGAAAATAGATTCTTTTGCATTGCTCCATCTTCGAAAACGATGAGTTACAAAATTAATAAGTTTGAAAAAACTACAAAAGTTGGTTTTTTTTTGTGAATAAAATGTCTTCTACCGACAAATAGGATATACGATTGAAATGTCTTACATGATATATAACGATAACAATGTCTACTACTAGTATCAATACCATTCAAGAACTTCACAAAAGTCCGATAGAAAAGAGATGTTAAAACGTAGGATGGTCACTATGTAGAGCTAATTATTTCCTACAAAGCGCGACGTTTTTGAGCCCGCTACAATATTTTTGCGTCTACATCAGATTTACGGAAAGTCTAAGATAGAATTTTTGTCAAGTTATTCGTTTCTTCAATGGTCATTACAGTGAACAAACTAGAATACATTTGATCGATCTGTCTATACTATTGATATATTTAAGACACCAATATTTTATTCCAATAATTGTTTTATCAGCGACTCTTCTGGAACTGCTATGCGGAATTATGGATCAAGCATGTTTTTCATACATTAATTTGATGGAAAATAATTTAGAGTAGGGCAGATTTATATCGTAATATGTTTTTAAAAACAATATATGAAATAGTTATTCAAATCTTTATAAAAACTGCACATTTTAACACGTAAAAAGGTGCGGGTTTTTTTATTGATTTTATCTAATTGAGCAATATTATTAATTTAATATGATAGTAAAAAATATTAAATTACCAGTATATTCTAATGTATTTTATGATAATTTTAGTCTTGTAATAGTATATTTTAATTTAATGATAGAAGTTTTTTTATTCATACATTATCTGCTCGAATATTTTGTAACAAAAAAAATGAAATCTATGATTATAGAAAGTATAAATTCGATCAGAAGGATGACAAAAAAATCGAGCTAGTATAATGAATACAACTTAGTTTTTTATTATCAGAGAATTAAAATTATTTATTATCTCAATAAAATAATTAAAATATTTTTATGTTGTTTCATTGGTTTTAAAAAATATCTGTTTTATTTTCATATATAGACTCGAGATCTTTAATATTCTTAATCAAATAAAAATGAAGATGACTTTCAAAATGATAAATTACAAACATGTTGACCATCTTCATGACAGAATATGATTCATAAACAATATTTTTCAAGATTCGCGGAAAGTAATGGACACAAAGAGCGAGTTCAATCATTCAAAATATACTCTCAACATACATTTAATGATTATAATAAAATCATACTTTATGAAAGATTTAACAGGTATTCTATTACAATCACATAAGAATGTTATTCTTTTGAAAAAAATAATAAAAAAAATATTTTATTCAATTTTCAATAGTGTTCTTTAATAAATCTGTTGTAAAAATATACATCAAACTATAAAGTAGGGCATCTATTTAATCAACAAATCCACAATCAACACGTGGTGTAACATGACTAACGTCAATTTTTTCATCACGAATTGCTACATTTTCACCACCAGAAGGTTTATAATCAATATTAGCCATTGAATCAACTTTAGATTGAGCATTCCATTGTAATTTTTCCGTTTTAACATTAACACGTGGTGGTGGAGATGTCCAATTAGCATTAGCAAATGAATTTACTTTTGATGATGCTTGCCATTGTATAGGTTGATCACGTATAGATATTTGACCACCGCCAGGACGATAATCACGATTTGCTAAAGAATTTACTTTTGCTGAAACATTTTTAAAACGAGTATCATTTTTCGAACGAATTCCAACTTCATTTCGTTTAGGTGACCACCACAATTTACGAGCCTAAAATACATTCTTAGTTTTGTAAAAAAAAAAAAAAAAGACAAAAAAAATTAATTCAATTTTTATTTTCATACTCTTCTATCACTATCACTGGAACTTCTTGTTGTGGATGATGATGGTATTTTATTTGAAACAATTGGAACTGGTTTCTTTGTTGTTGTAGTACTCATTGATTTTGTTATATACTGTTTATTTGGCCTTACTGGATACTTATTGTATTTCAATAAAAACTGAACAGTACGTTTTGAAGTCAAATCGTTTGTTGAATATTGTCGAAATTCACTCTGTGTTGGATGACGTTGTATGGATGGTAGACGCTCACTTTTTATTTTGTTTGATGTTTTGTTTAATGATTGTTGATGTACACGTTTCGTTATAAATGTCGAACCTCGTGATGGCGAAACAACAAAACTAGCATTTGATGGTTGTTGTAACGCTTTACTTGTTAAAAAATTTGTACGATGCGCCGTTTTTTTTATTTTTAAGTGTACTAATGGAAAAGAAAAAGAAGAAAAACGACTGTCAAAGACACCTTTGTTAAATTGATGATGAATGGTAATGCCATTATAAGAGAAATGGTTAATGTTGTTGTTGTTTGTATAAGTCAAACATAGGAGTGTATGAGTTGTTGTTGTCGTTGTTATTATTATTATTCTTATGTGTCAACAAAAAAGAAAAAATTTTGAAAATGATTGGCAGAAAAAGAAAAAAAATTGGAGAGTTGTAATTGTAAATGATCACTTATATAAATAAGCCATAGAAATTCTAATGAATAAATTATAGAATGATAAATATTCTCAATAAAAAAAAAACATATCAAATGGTGCTTTTTTTTCTCTGTAGATCTTCAGGAGACTTACATTAATTGGTGGCGACGGTTATTGAAAGTTTTCAATGTTTTCTTTTTTTGAATTTTTTTAGTCTTGTGAAATTTTGAAAATGAAAAATATAGACAATGATGATAAGAAACTAGACAAGAACATCTTTGGAAATTGATCCTAACTATTGGAAATTTTCAAAAACAAAAACTACATAATATCTATTTTTATATCTCGACAACTTATATTTCTAATCATGAAATAAGACAAAATATTATATGATACGATAAGAAAAAATGACATATGTAAAAATAAACGAAATCGTTAAAAAAAAAGGTTTAATTCAATCAAAATAATTTATATTATAAATATTATTTTTATATCAGCAATAATTTAAAACTAATTAACAAGAAATTCTACATATGATATAATTGAAAATTGAACTGGAAGTCGAAACAACATATTATGTAAAATAAAATAGTTCAACAAAAAATTTATTTCTTATTTATTTAGTTAGGTACTACGACATGAATGTCATAATAACTTATTCAGTTAATAAAACTCTTCCATATTCGAATGATCAATTTCATTGTTGTTCTGATCATATTTATGTTTTGGATCATTCTATGTCATATGAAGAACTTTATGATAATTAAGAATTATTAATGCAATTAAATATTGTTATATCCGATCCTACTCATGATTAAAAACAAAAGTATTTTTCAAATATTTATTTCATTATATTTAATTCTCTTTCATAAAAATACAATAAATAAATAAATATATCAATGATGATAAAATTTTCAAGTTCACAAAAATACTTGATGATAATGAATTCATTGAATTTCGTATAATCGTTAATGATGCTTTACTTGTCATATTAATATAAGGCGGATAGGTCGCAGATGAAATAATAATTGTTAAATTTAATGGTGATAATGAATTTTCAATTGTTATTTCTTGACTATAGATTTGAATATTTTTATAAAGTACCTAAAATATATTTTATTAAAAATAAAAAAAGAGAATTAACAATTTTTCATAATATATTTATCAAATGTTAACGTTCTCATTTTTCTTATTATAACTTTATTGTATTTGATTTTGTGAAACATAATTTAAAAGAAAATGTCGCAATATATGATGTAGAAATTTTCAACTTTCAAATTTTAATCTTACAGAAATTGTGCTAATAGTTTTTTGTATTACCTTTAAAGTATATGTTCCAGGTAATAATATTCTCCAAAATTCACCTAATGATGTAACTTTAACAACAGGTTTTCTATTATTAATCATAACTTGTGTTGATGGGATTGGTTGAAAATTTTCATTAAGTATTAAACCTTTTACACCTAAACAAAAATTTTGAAAAAAAAAAATAAAAAAATAATTTTTTCTTTTCATTACAATATCTAACCTCTTTGTGCTTGTAATAAATATTCAATCATTGCATCACGATTATAATTCCAATAATTAACAAGTAAATTACTTTGAGGATATTTACAACATGATACTTCTATTGTTATTTCAATTGTACCATAATTAAAATAACCATAATCTTGCATACCACCACTAACTTCATACCAATCAGCACCACGTGTAACATAATCACTATTGATATGTTCATCTGAACAATAGTCATTTATTTGTTTTGTTCGATTAATATAACTATGTGCTATCATTTGATAGATATCATCATCATCACTAGTTGAAATTCTTTCAACGTCTAAAAAAGAAAAAATAAAGCAAAAGTAAAATTTTTTGTTTGCATATTAATTTGAAGAATTTTGTTTTTTTACAAAAACGATCGAATGGTGTATTTACAACAAATGATCCTCCGTGATAATTAGCTGAAAGAACAAATGAAATATTAGCAAGCCAAGATATAATTGCATTTGTTTCTTGTGCTCGAATTGATGATGAAAGTGTAGCACCATAATAATCGGGAAAATTTCGATTTAAATCAATATTATTCAATGTATTTCTAAAAGAATTTCAAATAAAAAAACAAAGCTAAAAATATAACTAGATTTTTATTATTGTTTTTTTTTCTCTAATAACCTTCCAGCATTTAATATACAATCACCATATATTGATTCTTCTAAACCATCTGGATTCATGGAGGGCATTATCCATATTCGAGATTGATTCATTAATTGATAAACTTGTGTATCATTTGATGTTAAAAGATATTCTATTAAATATAGTAATATTTCTAATCCAACAACTTCATTTCCATGCATATTTCCAATATATTTAACTTCAGGTCGAAGTAATATATGTTCATTTGGAGCATATGCACTAAGTGCCATAGCCCATAAAGATTTTCCTATGTGTTAAAAATAAATGTGTATATATATATATAGTTTTAATTTATATACCTCCTTGTGATTTTCCTATTTCAACTAATGATGCTTTTGTTGGATATCGAAAAGCTAAATCTTGAAGAATAGATGTCATTTCGGAATAATTATGATAACGATAATCAATTGCATAATTTTTATATATTAGTATTGAAATAATTAAAAAATTCAATTGGATTTTAAACTAGAAAAAACATAAAATAATTATAATATTCGAATAAATGTACTTTTTTTCTTTTACCATTAGAAACAGTTTGATATCAACTAAAAGGTATGAAAAAAAATAGGAAACAACTTCATGGATGAATACGTCGCACTACTTAGCAACACTTGATGAATGTGAATTTTGCTTTTTTTTTCCTGTTCTGTTTTGTTATACAAAAAAAAAAGAAAACATGACTGGTTATAATTACACTTGTACTTTTTTTTTTCTTTTATGTTATTCTGTTTTGTATGAATCAGTAGACCAAATGGTTAGTTTGAGTAGATATTGACAAGTTTATTTTGTATATAATCCATTTTTTATTATATATTATACCATATGTAGTATTTACATATGGAGATTGAATAGAGTTTGCTTTTCTTGTGACAATAAACTAAAAGAAAAACACATGAAGAATAAATCAATATTATTAGTTTTCGAAACTTTTCAAAAAAGGAGATTAATCTCTTGTATTTGTAAGTATCGGTTTTTAGATTTTTAATGGATTCAATAAATAAGAAATTGGATGAAGCGGATAAGATTTATTTGTAGTCAACATAAATTATGTCTTAAGTAAATAAATATCATAGAAAATTTTAGTTTTTTGCATCATACATTTCATTAGAGCATAAGAATTTCATTAAAATGATATAATAAGTCTACTGTATAGCCCAGATTTGTTTGATGGGTCTATTTTGATATTCTAATCCATCTGGAAAAATAAAACTAAAAAAAAAACCAATGATTCTCGTTGATAATTATCATGGAAAACTTATGTAAGGGAGAGAACACTGGTAGATTCTGCAGCATAGCTACCTTCTGTCGCGAATAGAAGTAATATTTTTAGACAGCCTTTCTAATAAATGTTAACATGTAGAAAGAAATTGAAATCAAGAAAGTCGTTTAGGACTATCAGCTCCAGCTGTTAAACACGATCTCATTGGTTAATACAGTTCTAAGTAAAGTAATAGCAACAAAACCAAGAAGGGCATTTGTCACTATTCTTATTAATTGAAAAAAAGGTTTCAAAAGTAAACAAGACTAAACAAAAGCTTGAAGTATTCAAAATAAAACAGCGTTGCAATTTCAATTTAAAAAATCTGATCATTTGCGTAGAGATTTTGAATATTTTCTGAAAAGAAATCTGTGTTTTTTTTGTCTCAATCAGATGTCTCATAGCTTAAAAAAATATTCTCGAGTGAATAAATTTTTTAAACAAGCAACCAAGTTCAACGGATATGAGAAGGAATCACAAACACTAGATTTAAACGAAATTTGATGCTCGTCATTTTCTCAATTATATTTAAATTTGTAGTTAAAATATCTTCAACCCAAATGATTATTTTCATCACAAAGTAAATTTCTTTGCATTATCTATGATATACAGGATGTACCAAAAGTTACTATACGAAAAAAACAATTGGAACATCTTCTTTATGGTTCTATAGAATGAACTGGTTTTTGTGCTGTTGACAGATGATACTTTCAAGTTTTTATTCATAGATTCGAAGTACTTAAATGTTCCTAGAAACTAGCACTTTTAGGTTCAATAGTCATTAAAGTCATTTTTATACTTTCGAAAAACAATTTGTCAGATTTTTCTTATAGTTTTTCAATTTTTTTTCATTATTATAGACCTTCAATAATCTAAGTCTCTTTCTCCTCCTGTATAGCCATTCATTTGGTACGCCTTAAAAAAATCAGACACTGAGTTAAAATCATGTGTATTAAACCTGAAACTACTGATTTGTAGTATTTAAGAACTGTGAATTTATGAATAGAAACTTGGAAGTGTTCTCTCTGACTAGTACAAAAGTCAGTTTATCCAATAGCGTCGCAAAGAAGATATTCGAATTTTCTTTTTGTTTAGTGACTTTTCGGACACCCTGTATATTTATCCAGATATACGTTTTTAACTTTGACTCTGTTATTGATGGATTTTCTAAATATAATCATCGTTTGTTTCTTTACAATATATCAATAACATACGAACACTCTCATCAATTCTGACCCATTTGTTATTAATTTGATCTATTGTTGATTTAGTACAAAGAGATTATTCTTTTTAAAGGGTTTAAGAAACTAAATCGAACTTTTCTATTCTTTGATGGTCAGTTTTACGGAAACTTTCCATTAACTAATGTTAGACTCTTGAAATTTTGACTATAAGAATTGAATATATAATTGTAATTATTAGTTGACTATTTTTTTTTTGAAAATTAATTACATATTCAATAATTGGTTTCAATAAGAGAAAATAATATTTGATCATTTAATACGAAATTTTCTTGTAATTGTGATAATTTACTAACCATGTGCTGTATGATCATCCTGATCAGTATTAATATCGTTTTGTGCGTTATTGACTAATTGAAATAAATAAAAAATAAAATTTAAAGATTTATATGAAAAAATTTCTGTTTTGAATAATATATTACGATGTCTGAGGATGAATGGTAACAGATTCATTGGAAAAATTTGTTATCAATACTTTATGTTTATAAATTACACTTGTCCCAGATTCTGGAATAAAAGTATCTAATGTATTTATTAAGATATAAAAATCCTAGGAGATGAAATCGATATAGCTAAGTAAGTTATTAAAAAATGCTTATTGATTGGTCTCAGTCATGAGAACAATGATTAATCAAGTTAAACTTTACATATCAGATAACTAATTGTGTTACAATCTTTCCCTATAAGAGAATTTTCTATTTCTAATTAAGATTATCATATTACTATCTACCTTATATAAAAACAGTTGATTAAGTTTCATAAGCAATGAAGTTATGTCGACTTTCTTTTTTTTTGAGAACTGAATTTTCAGATATTTTATAGGAAATGGTCCATTTATACGAACTATTTTAATTAGAGACAAGTCTTTAGCAGTAAGAAACTGATAAAAATATAAACCTTATCATCAAGTTTGTTCATATTTATGTAGAATTCATGCTTACTGATAAATACATTAGAAGTTTTTCATTGATTTTCAAATAAAATATGTACACTGTTGATGTTATGATGCGAAGCAACACTTGTCAATAAGGAACCCATTTTGAATAATAAAACAAGGAATATCAGTGTCCGACACGGGTCACTTTTTTTGTGACCCGACCCGACCCGACCCGAGCTCAGAAAAATTAGACCCGCCCCGGCCCGACCCGAGCTCTAAAAGTTTTTTGCGTAACCCGACCCGACCCGACCCGAGGTGAGGAATAGCTTTTGGCCAATAAAAGTGAGTTTTTTTTCAGACATTGACAATTTTCTCAGTAAATCGATACATATTCTATAGGTATTCGAAATAAAGAAATGGTTATCTCATCTAAAATTGCTGCTTTTCTTATGTGAAGTTCGGAATTCGTAAAACTTTTGTGACCCGACCCGAGCTCAAAAATGTTTTTCGTAACCCGACCCGAGCATGATGTGACCCGGCCCGACCTGACCCGAGGTCAAGTATGTTTTTCGTGACCCGACCTGACCCGACTCGTGTCGGACACTGATGGATATATTCATATTTTTTGAAAGGTAACTACATCAGCACTAATCCTCTTAATCTTTTTCTTAGAAGAAGGTTCCAAACATGCACAAAATATAGCAGCGAAAACGGGACCGATCAATTGACGACTTTTCCTTGTAAGGAAAAGACTTCAAGCCAACGTTCAATCATTGTACTTCCTAATGAATACTTTGTTACGATTGAAAAGTATTCCGATGCACCTAATTAATTATTTCTATTCTAAGAATATTTGTGTTACAAAGTGTTTCAAAATCTTATACTGTCCAACGAAAGAATAATCTATTAATTACAATGTCAATTTATAACTAAAAGTTGTATGACTAACAGAAATGTCCTTTTTTCTTAATATCATCAGTTCAGATTTCAGTTTCAAACATACAATTAAGTCCAACTTTTCCTTTTTTTTTTATTGGCCAGCTAATTTTGATGTTTTATTTCCGAATAACAAAATAAAAAGTATTCTAACTCTTGACTAATTTCAATGATCTAATCAATATTACATAATACTTCAGGAATATACAGTTCATTATTTTTATTTCAAATTTTTCATCGAAAGACTAAAGCTCAGTAAATGAAAGCAATCATTCATTTTATTGAATTGTATGCAACCTAACATCATCCGTAGTCAATACAGCTAGCTTATTTATGCCGAACAGAATAGCACGGTAGGGTTTTGGATGATATTTAATGGTTTTCTTTAGTTTTCCGTCGTTTGTAACCTGAAGCAAGCGTCCAGTCTCATAGTCAAAAATGAGCCATTCATTACAAGTCAGTAAACAACAACGAAATGCTAAATTTTGGATGCACCTAATATCAAGTTTCAGTGTCCAGATACGATCAAGCGTCTTTGCATATCTCAATTCAATGCGCACCGATTTCTTGGATTCGCTGATAACTATTAGAGATAGATTTTCGTCATTGTAAACAATATCAGTGATAGCTTCATCTTTGGCACATGTAAAAGGATATTTCCATTCTTTAATCAATTCGATTGCTGGAAGTAATTTGAATTTCATAATAGATGAACCCCATTCATTTGTACTTGCAAAGAGAACTGTATCAGAACATGTACACGATAGCCAGAGTCGTTCTTCACTTGTCTGCATATTATCAATTGACATTGTATTTTCGTTAATAAGATAGATATGATTTATTCCAAGCACAATGAATCGATCTAATGTTGATGACCAACACATGTCGTTGATTTTACCGTAAGACCATAACATTTGTTTGACTATGTTCATTTCTCTATCAAATAAACATAAATTTGGATATTGATGTACCAATAAGTATCGATCATTTCCAGTTAGCAATCGAGAACTTTCCTCTGGACGATGAATTGTTTTGTAGACAGGTGAAAGAGTTGATAGATCAAGTTCATGTTCAGTCACTTTTTCTATAGAAATCAATGTGTCATCTATTATTAATGGACGAGTATCGATTGTAAAACATGTTTGTTCAATTTTGTTCATATTTCTTTCCAGTCGACGAATGGTGAATGTCAATAAATCAATATCCTGACGAGTTGTTTCTTGTGCATTGATAAGTTCAGTTATTTTCAAATTTATTCGATTGAGTTCTTCTCGCTGCTGGCCAACTTTTTCATTAACAAGTTGATCAAGTTCTTGACATTTTTCTTCAAAAAAACAGTCAATCTTATTATGGCAATCTTCACGCCATTGTTCAAGTTTTTCACGACTATCCCCAATTGTTTTTTGAATATTTAGTGTTTTGAGACGATCACCAAGTGCATTAACTTCATCAGTTAAAGGATTGAGTTGAGAAACGAGCGAGGCATTGTGTTCAATTAAATGTTGTAAACAAAGATTTTGTTGACAACAATCACACAGACCACGTGATATACGAATACATTTGTTTATCGAACATGATTGAGACATTTGATGAAAATAATACAATTTTGATGTTATAGGGATAGATGCAGTAGGAGGAGAAAATGAAATTTGATCTTATTTCTCAATGAGAGAATGTTTGTTTGCTGAAGGAACGAAAAATGATTATTTTTGCATTTGTATAACAAGAGTTAAGGTTTTTCTTCCAAATTTAAATTCAATAAACAGATGTCGTAAGAATAATAACTTGACAAGAATAACTATGAATAGTTCAGCTGAAGGTGATTGTGGGCCCAAAAACAGGATATTTACTTTTTTTTAAAGTATGGTAGAAAGAGAAAAATCTGTTTTCATTATGTATAACACTGTAGACTTTGTGTGTATGTCGTATCGAAGTTATATCGGTCGGTGAAGTCATAATTTCGAGAAAAAAAATTGTAGTAGTCACGTTAAATCGTCTAAATCAGATAATCATATTATTTGAACAGTTTTCATAATATATATTTTATGCTAGTAAGCTTGTTTTTCTTGCTGCAAACGTCAGTTTTCATTTTGGTATAAAATATAAGACCGAAAATAAAGCACTTACATGCAAGACAGAACGAAGGCAAGATAGAGAATACCTCCCACACACTATGCTTTTCTTCTAATGCACTCAAAATATGTTCTATACTGCAAAAGATTCATCCTATTGTTTGGATACAAAAAATAAATTTAAAAAGTAAATCCTGATAATATCTCGCTAATGACGTTCCAAGATTGCAAGTTTCTCTTATTCATTAGTTAGAGAACTTAGAGTCCTCATCATAGATCTATAATTATACATACTATTAACAAAAAGTCATGTTTGATTTTTCTGAATAATTTCTTCTATGCTGAGTCATGGAAAGTGATACTAACGTTTTTAAAGTGAAAAATTAACTATAAATATATATTTGGTTGCAACTTAGTTGATAGCTTTTCCAGTTCTCTTCCCAACGATATATGATAAATTGTTGCCGTTCATTCGATGCATGACGAAAGAGAAGCACTGGCACAACGCATTTTGCAACTCCTACTGTGATTCTTCTGATAATTCCGTAAAAAAGTACGATAAATTATTTTAAAAAGTAAAACGTTCCTCAGGTCACGATATATTATGTATTAAAAAAGTATGTATTGAAAATGTAGAACCAGAAAAGATCGGTCTCGAAGTGGTTGCATCGATCAAATTATCCATACAAGACTTTCAATGATGTTGGTAAATTCGCGAACAATGAATGCGATCTTAGTGAACGTAAAGCGGTACGACGATTTCGAGTAGACCAGTCAACAATTTCCGGTAACCTTTGAAGATGAACATCAGTTGTTATGAGAAAACGTTGAAAAACTCCAGAAATAAATAGTGAACAGCAACGAATTTGAGCACGAAAAAATTGTGATAAAGTATATCGAAAATTGTCAAATGGGTATAACAAATTTTCAAGTTCCAAGAACTTTCTTTTTGTCGTGTTTGGTTGTTGGCTTTTCCTTCTTCACGAGTTCATTCTGAAAAAATATGTCTAGTACGGAATTTGTGGATCAGACGTTACTCTTTCCAACAAAAACATTATTGTGATTGCTTTAGAAGTCAGTCATATGGTCCTACGACGCTTTACATTTTTTTTGCAACTCATGTTATATACACATCCAACAATCTTACATATAATAATAATAGATTCTTTTCTTTAAAAAACCAAATATTCTACTTCTGGATGAAGAACCACTTTCAACTGAAGTATTCCTAGTTATTCTTGTACTATCACTATTCCTACGACATCTGTTTATAGAATTGAAAGCAGAAAAAACAACTTAACTTTCGTTATACGAACGCAAAAAGAAACCTTCTTTCGTTTCTCTAGTAAACAAACAATTCTTTTTCTTGAGAAAAAAATATAAAATTTTAACTTCTCTTCCGACAACAATCATCTCAAGAACATCAGAATTTTATTATTTTCATCAAATGTCTCAATCATGTTCGATAAAGAAATGCACTCGTACAGCACGTGGATTATGTGATTGTTGCCGACAAAATCTTTGTTTACAACATTTAAATGAGCATAATACTTTACTCATTTCTCAACTCCATCCTTTAACTGATGAAATTAATGCACTTGAAGTTCGTCTCAAAACGTTAAACATTCAAAAAATAATTGGTAATAGTCATGAAAAACTTGAACAATGGCGTCAAGAGTGTTATAAGAAAATTGATTGTATTTTTGAACAAAAATGTCAAGAACTTCATCAACTTGTTAATGAAAAAGTTGATCAACAACGTGAAGAACTCAAGCGAATCAATTTGAAAATAACTGAACTTATCAATGCACAAGAAACAACTCGTCAAGATATTGATTTATTGATATCAACTATTCGTCAGCTCAAAACAAATATGAACAAAATTGAACGAACATGTTTTACGATCGATACTCGTCCATTATTAACAGATGACATGCTCGTTGTTATTAATAAACCAACTGAACATGAACTTGATCTATCAACTCTTTCGCCTGCATACACAACGATTCATCGCACTGAAGAAAGTTTTCCATCACTAACTAACAATGATCGATATTTTTTGATACATCAACATCCAGATTTATGTTTATTTGATAGAGAAATGAATATAGTCAAACAAACATTATGGTCTTACGGTGCAATTCATGACATGTGTTGGTCATCAACATTAGATCGATTCATTGTACTTGGAAAAAATAATATCTATCTCATTGACGAAAATACAATGACAGTTGATAATGTACAGACAATTGAAGAACGATATTGGGGATCGTGTACATGTTCTGACACAGTTCTCTTTGCAAGCACAAATGAATATCCTTCATCTGTTTTGGAATTCACATTAATCCTAACAATCGAATTGATTAGAGAATGGAAATATCCTCTTACATGTATCAAAGATGAAGGTATTGCTGATACTGTTTACAATAACGGAAATCTAGCTCTAATGGTTATGAGTGAATCCAAAAAATCGGTGCGCATTGAATTGAGAAATGCAAATACATTCGATCCTATATGGTCACTTAAACTTGATATTAGGTGTGTCCAAAAAATAGCGTTTCGTTGTTGTTCACTCACTTTTAATGAATGGCTTATTATTGACTATGAAACTGGACGTCTGATTCAGATTACAAAAGATGGGAAAATGAAGAAAACAATTCAATATCATCCGACTCCCTGTCGGGCTATTCTGTTCGACTTTAATAAGCTGGCTGTATTGACTGTAGATGATGTTACGCTACATACAGTCCAAGAAAATGAATGACTACTTTTCATTTAATGTTTTGTTTTTGTTTTTCCAGGAAGAATACGAAATAAAACAATTAATCGCACTTTCTTGAAATATGGTGTAAGATTGATTTGATAATCTAGATCAGTTACATAATCTTAATAATATTTTATTAGAAAATGTGAAGAAGACAAGATACAAAATATTTGACAATGATATTTTCCTATAATTAAGATGAAGTTATTTGTTGATCAAATAATAAGTAAACGTTACAGATGCTGATTTGACTCATTCATCATTCACCGATGGCGAAAATAAAGTTCAACAATCATGAAAATATCTATGTACTCAGAAGTTTTTATCACAAAAGTAAATTTTATAAAATCTTAATTACATATTGATGCGTGTATAGAACCATTCCTAGTTGCAAGAGCTCATGCTGCAACTTCGTCATGAATGAATTTCATTAGGAAACAAAAATGTTCATAAATATTTTCTATTAGCAATATTCCATAACTAAGATTCAAAAATTTACTAGTTTAGAAAAAACAACGAAGACTGGTAAAAAAAATAAACTTAAACATAAAGATCACTTGAAGCAGCTAAGAGTAAATGAAATTTTTCAAATAATATTCCACAAAGATCATGAGTAGAATCTTTATGATCTTGAAATGATTTTATTGAAGAAATATCAGGATTTCGATCAAGATTTATTCTTTAACAAAAAAAACATTGGGTTTTATTTACTATTCTTCAATATTTTGTCGATAAGTAAGATTATGTTCACCAACGAATATCAAACAATTGTGATCTGTATCAAATAATAAATGATTTATTGTTCGAATATGTCTTGAAATCATTATTAAATGTTGACCATCATCAAAACAAATAACAAATTCAGATTATATATTTTAATATTAAAATTATAATTTTCCTTTATAAAGCTTTGTTTTCTTTATATTTTCAAGATCTTTGTCTACACATATAAAGAATTCAACTTGATGAACTTCCGTAAAAAAAGTTCAAACGCTTTGAACAAAGTGTTTTCAAGATATATTCCGTTTTCCATGGATAGTATTTATAAGAGGTCTTAATAGGTCGAGCTAGGCTGAAGAAAGCCGGATTAGCCCATAATTTTTCTCTTAAAAACTGTCCCATATGGGTCATTCATCTAATTGCATTGAAAAAATTTTTAACACATGAATGAGTAAGTATATTTCGAGTACCAGTGGTTGATGTATAAACAAATGTTCGGTAACATATCTAACAACTTGTAAAATCTTCAATCTTCTCGAATTCACCAGTATTTTATGATATTTATTAGTTCGAAAATCAGAAACTTTCTAACATAAAGATGTGATTGTTTTTTATCTTTAACAAGAGCATATATCGATGGTTATTGTTTCAAAAGAAATTTGATTCGTTCGGATGTACACTGTTTTCCATGTGATAATGAACGAGTACCGATAGTTGAAGAAAAAAGCTTTAACAAAAATTGATGGTTGAGAAGATTCATGAGAAATAAAATTAAAATTAGAAAAAATGGTCTATGACGATGTTGTAATTGTGTTTTTCTTTGTTTTGCTTTAATATAACATATTTGCTAGTCATTGCAATATTGTTTTAGCAAATGCAAGACAATTGCATGGGATTTTCGAAAAAAAAAATTTCCTTTTAGGATTTTTATTAGAACCCTATGTACTATTGAAAGGTGGCATCTGAAGAAGTTCTCTCGTAAGTATAACTTTTTTTATCTTTATTGATCAGGTAAATTTGATTTTTTATTTACAAAGAAGAAAATTAAAAATATTTCTTACAACAGTGACCTCGATAATTTAAAGAACTATAAATTACATTTCAGCAATATGCGGTAAATTATTTTTATTTCGAATTCTTCATCGAAAGAGTTAAGTTAAATATTAAACTAAAGCAGTCATGCATTTTATTGAATTGTATGTAGATTGATCCCTTGCATAGTTGATACAGCTAGTGTATTTGTGTCCAATAAAGTAGCACGACATGGAGTTGGTTGATATTTAACTGTTTTCTTCATTTTCCCATCTTTCGTAGTCTGAATGAGACGTCCAGTCTCATGATCGATAATGAGCCATTCATTACAAGGCAGTGAACAACAACGAAATGCTAATTTTTGAGCCCATTTAATATCAAGTCGAAATGTCCAGATGTGTTCGAGTGTCTTTGCATATCTCAGTTCCATACGCAACGATTTATCCAATACATTTACAATCACTAAAGCTAGACTTTCGTTATTGTAAGTAGTGCTAACAATAAATTCATCTTTGGTACATGTTCGAGGATGTTTCCATTCTCTAATCAATTCAATTGTTGGAAATAATGTAAATTCCATAATAGATGCTGCACGTCCATTTGTACATGCAAAGAGAACTGTATCAGAACATGTACATGATAGCCAATTTCGTTCTTCCATTGTATGCACATTATTAATTGACATTGTATTTTCATTAACAAGATAGATGTTATTTTTTCCAAGTACAATGAATCGATCTAATGTTGATGACCAACACATATCTTGAATTGCATCAAATGGCCATAGTACTTGCTTGACTATATTCATTTCTTTATCTAATAAACATAAATTTGGTTCTTGATGCATTAATAAGTATCGATCATTGGCAGTAAATGGTCGGAAACTTTCTTGAGCACGATGAATTGTTCTGTAAACAGGTGAAAGAGTTGATAGATCAAGTTCATCATCACTCGTTTTCTCTATAGAAATCAATGTGTCATCTATTATTAATGGACGAATATTAATTGTAAAACATGTTTGTTCAATTTTGTTCATATTTGTTTCAAGTTGACGAATACTTGATGTCAATCGATCGACATCTTGACGAGTTGTTTCTTGTGTATTGATAAGTTCAGGTATTTTTGACTGTATTCGATTAAGTTCTTCTCGTTGTTGGCTAACTTTTTCATTAACAAGTTGATCAAGTTCTTGACATTTTTGTTCAAAAAAAGAATCGATCTTCTTATAACAATCTTGACGCCATTGTTCAAGTTTTTCACGACTATTACCAATTGCTTTGTGACTATTTAATGTTTCAAGACGATCACTAAGTGTATCAATTTTATTAGTCAAAGAATTTAGTTGAGAAATGAGTAAAGCATTATGTTCATTTAAATGTTGTAAACAAAGATATTGTTGGCAACAATCACATAACCAACGTGATGTTCGCATACATTGTTCCATCGAACATGATTGAGGCATTTTTCCAAAATAATAATATTCTAATATTCTAAAAATAATTTTAATTAGAAGAGAAATTAAAATATATGATGTTAGTTCTCAAAAAAAAAAAAAAGAAAAAGTGTGTTCTTTTTCTGAAGGAATAAAAACGTATTATTTTCATATTCGTATAACGAAATTTTAGATTTCTTTTTTTTTTCAACTTCAAATTCAATAAACAGATATCCTAAGAATAGTTATTGTACAAGAGTAACTATGAATACTTCAACTGAAGATGATCGTTCGTCCGAAAATAGAATATGATAAAGACAAGGAATTTTTTTCAAATTATGCGTAACACTGAAGATTGCGTACACATATCGTATCGAAGTTACAACCTCGATAAAAAAAATTATTGAAATTACTTCAAATCAATTGAGTACTAAATAAATATGAACTAATTCATGATATTAAAAACAAAATATACACTTATAGTTAATTTTTCATTTTAAAAAACATTTATATCATTTTTTTTTACGAATATATATAAAAGAAATTATTCAGAAAAATCCTCAATTTCAGAAATTAAACGTTCAGTAACAAGTGAAATTGTACAATAAAAACTATTCTAACTATAAGAATCTCATCTAACCAGCGCACGTTGCATAAAAGTAACATACATAAAGAATATTTGATAAGTTTCGAGTCTTTTTTTCTTTGTATTTTTTAAATATTCTAAGGTGAATAAACATTGAGAATAAATTTTGAAGATTGTATCTAAGCGCAACCATCCAAATTTTATTCAGTAAACTACTATCATTAGTAAAAAGGTACATTATTGGAAAACATTTATTAAATATAAAAAATAATTTTAACTGATGTATTCTATTGAGTTGAATGTTAAACTGCGTAGTACAAGGATAAAAAAAATTAAACTAATAAGAAAAAACGAAAAATACATTTCAATATTTCCATAATAAATTTATTTTTTCTCCGCTTGTCTAAGTGGAAAACATTATTTTGAATATATGTACAACTCTCCTTTGACTCGTCGACAAAAATAAACAAAAGCTACTACGCATATGATTAGTTGAAAATATTTTTTAATGCAAATTCCGTTCCTGATAAATAGAAGACCGATATATCAGAGAAAACAAACATGTGGTTACGCTTCAGTCGTTCGTATCAATGAAAACAAGTATTGTTTTTTGTTTACGCAGTATTTCTTGTGCGCCGTTATTTTTTCATTGTATTATTGTTAAGCTAATTGTTCTCCTTTACACAATACTAAATACTAATATCTAATATTCTAAATTTATTCTTGATCATAGAATCTTCGATAACTTTCATCACTTATTCATGTCAAAACAAAAAACCAAGAACTTTATTGATTCTAAGAAAACTCGACCGTCAATTACATCAACTAAAGATTCTTCAATAAAACCTGTTCAGAAAAAAAAAACGTTTTCTTAACTGATCTTTCTGCGTTACTACGTAGTTTTTTTTTGCGAGCCTTGTCTGACTGAGTGTTGCACTCAAAACTTGTTATATAGTGCAATAGATAGATTCGAATGTTTGAATATAAACAATGAATCTCAAAAAAAAAACATCCTTATCACATCTCGGCGATCGTGTTCTAAGGTCGAATGTTGATTTTACTGATTTATCTACTACAGATAACTATTAAAATAAACTTTGGTTTTGGTCAATAATTTCTTCTAACATTTATCGTAAAAAAAATGATATAAGTGGTTTTGTAAGGGCATTTCCATAGAAACTGAACCACACGTACAAAAAATGATTTCTGACTTTCGATGAAATTTTCAGAGCTTGTTATAATCATTTTGATTAAAAACAAAACTTATAGTTAAAATTAAAAGCTCTATAAATCATAAAAATTTCATTGAAATCGGTGTACACATGGTTGAGATCTAATGGAAATAGGGCAAAACCAAAAAATTAACTATAAGTATATCTAGTTTAGTTTTAATTTCATGAATTATAATCAATATTTTTATTTTAGTATATAGTTGAATTGAATTAATGTGGACACAATTCTACGACAAAGTTATAAATTCGTCAAAATTGTTGACGATGTTACAACTTTGTCGACTAGTGTAACTTCACTACGATATATCTATATATATATATAGTTTTAATTTGTATACCTCATTATGATTTCTCTATGTCAACAAATGATGTTTTTATTGGATATGTGAAAGTTAAAATCTTGATGAATAGATGTCTTTTCGGAATAACTATGATAATGATAATCAATTGTATGGTTGTTATATAATATTATTAGAAGATTCGATTATATTTTAAACTAAAAAAAAAAAGATAAAAAAACCTATCATATTCATATAAGTGTAATATTTCCTTACTATTAAAATCAGTGTGATATACACTAAAACGTATGTCCACGTATGAGAAGCCAAATAAATACATTCATGGATGAATGCATTGTATTATTTAATAATATTGGGCGATTGTATGTATTGTCTTTTTTTTATTTTTTATTTTGCTATGATAAAAGAAGATATGAGTAGTGCGCCCCCCCTCGGTGTCGCCAAACTTTTCGGTCACGGTCGCGGTCACGAACATGACCTGCGATTGACGTGAATCCTGATCAAAGTTTCGATAAAGGCAAAAACAAATAACAATTATAAGATTATTAACCAAGGACACGAAAAGTATATTCTTAGTTAATTCGATTCTCTTCAATAGAATAGTAACATGTACATGTGTTTTCATTTAACTGTATTTGTAACAAAATATGTACTTTTGTTGTGTTTAATGCTTGTTAGAATATTTTTATTACAGGAAATATTGGAATGTAAGAAAATTTAAAATTTTCTCAATTCTAATTTCTCTTGTAACATTTATGTCTTGTTTATAAGAAAAAGATAAGAATGTAGCTAAAATGAAAATTTATGTATGATTTTTTTAAAATTTTATTCAATTAATTGTTTTTTTTTAAATGAGAAAATGTATTGCATTTTGATTTTTCAATCTTTACTTTTCTTGTATATGTGCATTTATGACTCAGCCGTTTGTTTACGAATGTAATGTGGTCGATTGATATATGTAACCATAGAACAATATAATATAAGTTTTGTTATTATTGTGTATAAATTGATGATAATATTATGTGAAATATTAGGAATATGCTATTTCATGAATATAGTTAATTAACACAATAAAGAATAATTCTTTGAATTATCATAATAGACACAGTATATGTGAATATTTTAGGGGAATATGATTTATGATCAGTAAGATAAATAAAATGATAAGTAAATGAAGTAATTACAAAACCAGTCAATTTAATGATTGATTAGTAAATTAGTTAAACTGTTAGTAGTAAATAAAATAAGTTTGTAAACAAATTTAAAAATTAGTAAATACAATTTATTAATAGTTGATTATATTAAAAGATCAGTATAAAAATTGAAATAGTTATAGAGTAAATTTGTTTCGTTCTTATTTTTCTTTCTCTTCAGCTATTCTACATATGTTCTTGTTGCTCTGACCTAGTTCTTTTAACTTATATATTTTATGAATAAAAAGAATCATTGTTGTAAGTCTTCTTATTGGTCATTATCTAAAACAAAATGAAAGAAGCTTCTCGACATCTTCCTTGATTTTTGTCTTTATCTATTTCCATGTATAAATATTTAGTGTATCTCAAATAAAAATAACATATTTCGCGTTTACAAAATTTTATGTATTTATATGTATGGAGGTGGAAAAAGAGCATGCAACAACTGGAAATAAAAGAAGTTTAAAAAAAAAGGAATCAAAATTTTGGGTTAAAAAAAGATGCATTTGATAGTGTAAGCGAAGTAGAAGCATCAATTAAAAATCAATGATCAAAGTATTACACAAACTATATAGAAGATGGGAGAAAAGTGTATTATAGATGCAAGAAAGCCAAACGTCGTAGTTCTCAATGTCCTGCAAGTATTTATCTACTAAACGGGGTATGTTATTAGTCAAAAAGTTAAAATAGTTTTTATCAAATTTGTTTTTTACTTTTGTTTTTCATTATGTTTTTATCGTAATCACGTAAAAAAAATCCGACATCTAAACCTATTTTAGGATTACACTCTATAAAAACACCATGATAAAAATAACTCAAAGCGAACGTGTGACCGATATTTTTTTCAACCTAACAAAAAAGGTAGAAAACAAATTTGGTAAATATATTTTAGCATGTTTTCTAATAACGCACTTTCATAATAATGATGTCAATTGAGTATAGTCAATTTTGGATGATAATTCAGACATTACAAATACATATATTCTATGTCTGTTCAACTTAATATATTTGAAAAATACAAAAAGAAAATATTCAAAATGGCTCGAAACCTATGAAACAAGCTTAATATATGTAATTTTCACAAAACAAAATGCGCAATAGTTAGATGAGCTTCTTAAAAATAATATAATTTTTATCGTATTTTTTTACATATTACTAAACGTTCGGTTTTTGAATTGAGTGTATTCCTAGAGACAACAATCATATTCCATTGCCTGAACTTTAATTTAAATGAAAGGATGCATTCAATTCAAAATTAAACTCCTTGAACTATTGGTAAATCGTAAAATTCGTATATTCCTACGATTTTATTTTTGTTAAAATTCCGACGAGCTTTTATGAGTTTTTTTATTGTTCGTCTGAGTGAGTTATAGCATAGGAAGTGACCTTTCCAATGTTGTATTGTAAGTTAAATTTGTTCTTGGTTTTTCTACAAACATATTGCTTTTCCTGAAATAGACAGAATAATGTTGTCGTTTATACTACATGGCTGTTTTGCAACAGTAAAAAATATTTTTGAAGTAATTATGAATTTCGGAGGCAATCACGCTTTTCTGTTATTGGAATGAGTAATGTCCGAGGTATAGATTTTGTACCAGACATATGTTCGGCACGATGTTGTTGAGGAAATAATGCCTAAAAGTAAACACTGCTAAAAAACATCTTGCAGCGTTTCTGCACTATGTAAATTTGGTATTTTTCAATGATTTTGGGAAACGTAGACCGCATTCTCTCAACGAAAAAAACAAAAATGTAGCCAACAAAAACTCCATCGCCTTAGCTTTGTTAAATTTTTGTTTTGGTTTTTTTCGCACTCTTCAGTCAAAAAAGATTTGAAAATGAAATTTTTCTAAAATCGAATCTGTTGCTAGGATTATGAGTTTTCGAGAACATCAGCCATCATGTCTAGAAACCATGCACGGACTCAATTCTTTTTGCATTATTTGTTCGAAATATTTGTAATTGAAGAAAGCGACACCGTAAACGGCCATAAACGATATAAAATGGTGAAAACTGGCATCTTTACGTCGTCGTTTTTTGTAAGCCTTTGAAAAGGTGAAAACAGTAGGAGAAACGATGATCTGTTGCTAGCGAAAACAAAAAATGGTCCGACAGGTTACAGCGAAATGCAGTGAAAATCAATGCAGTAATACGCCGTTTTATAGACACTTCGGGTCGTTGAAGATGTCATTTCCGACTGTTGGAATGATCGCATTGAGACGTCTAATCATTGAAACTTAGCCGAAAAAAGAATTATGATCAAACAAAGTTTGACATTTTTTCATCTCTATTGCAACTCATTTTATACACACAGTCTATAATGTTACACATGATGAAAATAGATTTCTTTTGTATTATATTCTTCAAAAAAATTCAATATTGAATTTTCGGACGAATAATCACCTGCAGTTTAAGTATCCATTCTTATCTTTGTAAAGTTATTACTCTTGCAGCACCGATTAATTGAATTCAAAGCTGAAAAAAAAACAACTTAACTTTCGTTATACGAATGCAGAAGCATTACTTTTTCGATTCTTCAGTAAACAAAAATTTTTTTGCTTGAGAAACAACATCAGATTTCATTTTCTCTTTCTATTGCAACTATATCTTGAACGTTGAAATTTGATTATTTTCATCAAATGTCTCAATCCTGTTTGATAAAGAAATGCACTCGTACATCACGTGGACTGTGTGATTGTTGTCAACAAAATCTTTGTTTACAACATTTAAATGAACATAATGCTTCACTCGTTTCTCAACTCAATCCTTTGATTGATGAAATTAATGGCCTTGGTGATTGTCTCAAAACACTAAATATTCAAAAAACAATTGGTAATAGTCGTCAAAAACTTGAACAATGGCGTCAAGATTGTTATAAGAAGATTGACTGTTTTTTTGAACAAAAATGTCAAGAACTTCATCAACTTGTTAATGAAAAAGTTGATCAACAACGAGAAGAACTCAAACGAATGCATTTGAAGATAACTGAACTCATGAATACACAAGAAACAACTCGTCAAGATATCAACTTATTGACATCAACTATTCGTCAGCTCGAAACAAATATAAACGAAATTAAACAAACATGTTTTACGCTCGATACTCGTCCATTATTAATAGATGACATGCACGTTGTTATTAATAAACCAACTGAACATGAACTTGATCTATCAACTCTTTCGCATGTTTACAAAACAATTCCTTGTTCCAAGGAAAGTTTTCGACCATTTACTAGCAATGATCGATACTTATTGATGCATCAAAAACCAAGTTTATGTTTATTTGATAGAGAAATGAACGTAGTCAAACAAACATTATGGTCTTATGGTGCAATCCACGACATGTGTTGGTCATCAACATTAAATGGATTCATTGTACTTGGAAAAAATAACATCTATTTCGTTAACGAAAATACAATGGCTGTTGATAATGTGCAGAGAATTGAAGAACGATATTGGGGATCGTGTACATGTTCTGACACAGTTCTCTTTGCAAGCACAAATGAATGGAGTTCATCTATTATAGAATTCAAACTATTTCCAGCGATTGAAATGATTAAAGAATGGAAATATCCTCTTACATGTAGCAAAGATGAAGCTATCGCTGATATCGTTTACAATAACGGAAATCTTGCTCTAATGGCTGTGAATAAAATCGAGAAATTGTTGCGACTTGAATTAAAATATGCAAAGACATTCGATCGCATCTGGACACTTCAACGTGATATTAGATGCGTCCAAAATTTAGCGTTTTGCTGTTGTTTACTCACTGTTAGTGAATGGCTCATTATTGACTATGAGACTGGACTCCTGTTGCAGATTACAAAAGATGGAAAAATTAAGAAAACAATTAAATATCATCCGACTCCCCACCGTGCTATTCTGTTCGACCAAAATCAGCTAGCTGTATCGATTGATAATGGCATAAACCTGCATACTATTCAATAAAAGGAATAATTGCTTTCGTTTAGTATTTTGCGTTACTTTTTCAGTGAAGAACTCGAGCTAAAAATAATTAGCCGAATTTCACTGAAATATTATTTAAGATTGATTTAACAATAGAGATTAGTTACATAATCTTTTTAATATGGTATCAAAGAATATGAAAGAAAAGAAAATACAAAATATCTAGCAAAGATATTTTTTTTAGAATTAAGATGAATTCATTTGTTAATCAAGTAATAAATGAGCCATTTGAACAAGTGCTAGTGCTAGCATAGCTGTTGATTCGTTTGATTCAACATTCATCGGTGACAACAAAAGAATTTAACAATCATGAAAATATTTATGCGTTCGTAAATTTTTATCCTTGGGGTAAATTTTAGAAAACGTTGATTACATATTGATCTTTGCATAGTTAGCCGTTCTGAGTTGCAAAAGTATGTGTCACAACTTAACTATTTGTTTCGCTTGAAAAAGTCCATGTAAAAGATAATGTTTTACAAAAAAAAGGCAAAATATTTTCTTCTCTTCTTCTGTATTTCTGCTGTTAATATTAATAATGAAACAATAAAAATTGTACCAGTATCTGTACCACAATAAATTGTTGTAGAAAATGATGATGCACATATCGAATGAATTTTAGTAGGAAATAAAAATATACATAAACATTTTCCGGTAACAACATCCCATATGTAGAACTCAAGAATTTTTTACTTTAGAAAAAAATTATGATTATGAAAACATCGTTGGAAACTAAAGCTCACTTGAAGCAGTTAAAAATAAATGAAATTTTCCCATTGATATTTAACAAAGAACATGAACTGAGTCTGTATAACCTTGAAATGATTTTCAGAATGATGTGGATCTCGTACATAGTTAGATCGAGGTCATAAGTGCTTATGAATGTATAAACCATAGAAGTATCACTGATTCAATAATAATTCATAAATATTAATACAGGACATCGAGTTCAAAGTTTTATCATATACCATAGATCTTGACTGCATGAACTTTAATTTAAATGAAAGGATACATTCAATTCAAAAACTGAACGCGTATAAACGTGTTAAACTTCTTGAACTAATGCGAAATCGTAAAATTCGCACATTTTTATGATTTTATTTTCGTTAAAATTTCAACGCGCTTTCATAAGCATTTTTATTGTTTGTCTGAGTGAGCTATAGCATAAGGAATGACCTTTCCAATGTTGTATTGTAAGTTAAATTTGCTCTTGGTTTTTCTACAAACATATTGCTTTTTTTGAAATAGACAGAATAATGTTGTCGTTTATACTACACGACTGTTTTACAACAGTAAAAAATATTTTTGAAGTATTTTTTCCGCTAAGTTTCAATGATTAGACGTCTCAATGCGATCATTCCAACAGTCGGAAACAACATCTTCAAAGACCCGAATTACCTATAATATGGCATATTACTGCATTAGTTTCCAATGTATTTCGTCGTAATTCATCAGCTCGTTTTTTCGCTAGCAGGCAATTATTCTTTCTCCTACTGTTTTCATCATTTTACAAGCTTTACATAAAACGGCGACGTCAAGAGTCCGGTTTTCGTTGTTTTATATCGTTTACTACCACTTACCGTGCCGTTTTTTTCGACCTGAGATATTTCGAAAAAATATTGCAGAAAGAATTGACTCCGTGCATGGCTTTTGCAGATGGTGACTGCTGTTCTTGGAAACGCATGGTTCGAGCAAAAGATTTCACTACAAAAAAAGACATTATTTTTCAAATCTTTTTTTGACTGAAGAGTCTGAACTGGATCTAAAAAATTTGAAAGATCTCAGACGATATAGTTTTTGATCAGCTATATTTTTCTATATTTTTTGATAAAGTCTGATTCACGTAGTCCAAAACTATCAAAAAAAAAATCAAATTTTCAAGTTGCAAGAGCTCTTGTAGAGAAGTTTGACTTTTGGATTCTTCTCCTTCATAAGTTCATTCTGAAAAGGTATGTCCGGTGCGAAATTTGTAGCTCGAACATTGCTCTTTACAACAACAGAAAAATGTGATTGTCTTAAAAATCCATAATATAGTCAAACGAAGTTTGATATTTTTTTCATCTCTTTTGCAGCTCATTTTATACACACAGTCTACAATGTCACACATGATGAAAATAGGTTTCTTTTGTATTATATTCTTCAAAAATATTCAATATTCAGTTTTTCGACTAATAATCACATGCAATTTAAGGTTCCCTCAAAAATCGATCTCAGTCCAGGAACATTCAAATGACATGAAATTTTTAGGATATGTTGGGGCTATTGTGAAAAAGCTATAGTGAAATTTTCAGTCCGATATCGTGATCTTTGAGAGAGATGTTGTCAAACAACGGTCAAAAAGAGCGAATTTGACAACTCAAATTTCTCACTCCAGGTTGATGTGATTGTCACATATTGAAGTAAATACGTAAAAATTCAAGATCAATAACTTGTTTATTGACTTGAAAGTACAGAAAACGAATAACAAGTCAGATGAAAGAAACGAACAAGAATAACAAGATTATAACTATTTTGTTACTAACTTGAAACTGATTTTTCAACGATCTTTTTCAAAGAAAACATATATATATATCTCGTAATGGCGCATACAACAAAGTAGAAGGACGGAAAGAAAACAATAGAAATATACGCAAATGAAGATGAGTTATTTCCAAAACGAAATAAGTATATACATTACGTAATAGACAATATTATTACATGATATAAAATAAAGTCAAGGTCCAATATAATGTTTTTTTTGACATTGATCAAAAATAACGAATACAAGAGAAATAAAAAGAAGAAACAGAAAATAACAATAGTGAATCTCACTACATGACAGTGATGTATTTTAATTTTCTTTTTGGTTTGAAAGAGCATGTCAAGATATAGGACACCACAGAGTCCTTTTTTCAAATTCTTACTTTTTAAGCGGAAGAAGATATCACAAGGTCAATGACTTTAAAAAATCCTAAAAAATGACGGTTTTCTATAGAGATGTTTTCTTATATTATTATAAACAAGCTTATTTTAAAAAAAGAACTCTGCAGCACTCTGCGTCTTGACGTGCTCTTTCTAAAAAAAATTTCAATACATCACATGGATCTGGATTGAGAAATTTGGGTTGCCTCTTCGACATACGTATCATGAACTGAGAAAAACCGAAAACGGGAGAGGAGGGGGGAGGGAAGGTCGGTGCCGAGTAAAAAATTTTTGTCGTTTATGAGAGATCAGATCACGGGCTATCTTTTCCTGCATTTGCCTTAATTTCGATCATTCTGAAGAAAACTGACGTTTTTTGAGGGGGAGACTTAAGTATTCATTCTTCTCCTTGTAAAGTCATTACTCTTGCAGCACCGATTAATTGAATTCAAAGCTGAAAAAAAAACAACTTAACTTTCGTTATACGAATGCAGAAGCAATACTTTTTCGATTCTTCAGTAAACAAAAATTTTTTTGCTTGAGAAACAACATCAAATTTCATTTTCTCTTTCTATTGCAACTATATCTTGAACGTTGAAATTTGATTATTTTCATCAAATGTCTCAATCATGTTCGATAAAGAAATGCATTCGTACATCACGTGGACTGTGTGATTGTTGTCAACAAAATCTTTGTTTACAACATTTAAATGAACATAATGCCTCACTCGTTTCTCAACTCAATCCTTTGATTGATGAAATTAATGCACTTAGTGATTGTCTCAAAACACTAAATATTCAAAAAACAATTGCGAATAGTCGTGAAAAACTTGAACAATGGCGTGAAGATTGCCATAATAAGATTGACTGTTTTTTTGAAGAAAAATGTCAAGAACTTGATCAACTTATTAATGAAAAAGTTGATCAACAACGAGAAGAACTCAAACGAATGCATTTGAAGATGACTGAACTCATGAATACACAAGAAACAACTCGTCAAGATATCGATCTATTGAAATCAACTATTCGTCAACTTGAAAGAAATATGAACAACATTGAACAAAAATGTTTTACAATCAATACTCGCCCATTAATAATTGATGAAACGTTCGTTTTTATTAAGAAAACGACTGAACAAGAGCTTGATCTATCAACTCTTTCGCCTGTATGCAGAAAAATTACTAGTCCTGAAGGCACTTTTGGATCACTAACTAGCAATGATCAACATTTATTGATACATCAAGAGCCATATTTATGTTTATTTGATCAAGACATGAATATTATCAGACAAACATTATGGCCTTACGATGCAATTCGTGACATGTGCTGGTCGTCAAGATTAGATCGATTCATTGTACTTGAAAAAAATAATATCTATCTCATTAATGAAAATACAATGTCAATTGACAATGTGCACACAATTGAAGAACGGGAATGGTTATCATGTACATGTTCTGACACAGTTTTATTTGCAAGCACCGCTGAATGGGGTTCATCTATTATGGAATTCACATTACTCTCGACGATCAAATTGATTAAAGAATGGAAATGTCCTCTTACATGTACCAAAGATGAAGCTATCAATAGTATCGTTTACAATCACGAAAATCTCGCTCTGATGATTATGAATAAATCCAAGAAATCACTACGCATTGAATTGAGATATGCAAAGACGCTTAATCGCATTTGGTTACTTCAACTTGATATTAGATGGGTCCAAAATAAAGCATTTCGATGTTGTTCACTTTCTTGTAATGAATGGCTCGTTGTTGACTACGAGACTGGACGCCTATTACAGATTACAAAAGATGGAAAAATAAAGAAAACAATTCAATATCATCCGATTCCTTACTGTGCTACTTTGTTTGACCTAAATAAGCTAGCTGTATCAACTGTGAATGGCGTAAACCTGCACACAACTTAATAAAATACTTCACTGCTTTCATTTAGTGATTTGCTTTACTTTTCCCATGAAGAACACGAAATAAAACAAATAACCGCACTTTCCTGAAATATTATTTAAGATAGATTTGATAATTGAAATTAATCGTATTACCTTCATTTGTTGCTCAAGTAATAAATAAGCCATTTGAACAAATGTTTGTGCTACCATAGCTGTTGAATCGTCTGATTCACCGCTCATTGGTGGCTAGAAAAAAATGAAACTTTCATGAAAATATCTGTGCATTCATAAATTTTTATCCTTGGGATGAATTTTACAAAATGTTGATTACATATTGATCTTTGCATAGTTAGCCGTTTCGAGTTGCAAGAGTATGTATTATAACTTCACTTTTTGTTGCATATGAAAAATTCTATTTCAAACAAAATCTTTTCACAAAAAAAAAACAAAATATTTATTTCTTCTTATTTACTTCTGTTGTTAATGTTCGGAATGAAACAATGAAAATTGAACCAATATCTATACTACAATAAATTGTTGTAGAAAGTGAAGATGTACATATCTAATGAATTTTAGTAGGAAATAAAAATATAAATAAACATTTTCTGGTAATAACATCCCATATTTAAAATTCAAGGGCTTATCACTTTAGAAAAAACCGAGGATTACGAAAACATAGTCGGAAACTAAGATCACTTGAAGCAGTTAAAATTAAATGAAATTTTCCAATTGATATTTGATAAAGATTATGAATTGGACCTGTATGATCTTGAAATGGATGTAAATCAACGAAATTCTACCCGACTATTTAATCGTCAAACATAAAATGAAGGACGACCGATAGCAGTAGCATAGACATGATTAGTGACGGAATTAATTGGAAGAGCGTAAAATTAAAAGTGATTAGATAATATTCGAATAACTATCACTATTTTGAGGGTGAGGGCATCATATTCAAATATTATGTAATTACTTTTCATTCTGCACTCTTCTGGCTGACTCCATCACTTGATATGATCACGAGAACATAGGAGACCATGATATGTAACGAGTGTATCGCATTTAAATGTAAGAAGAACATTGACACAAAGTTACTTCATAATCGTGTTCATCTTGTTTACAGTTACATAGAGGTCATGAGTACTTATAAACATATAAATGATAGACATATCACTGATTCGATAATAATACATGAATGGTAAGAGTTATCGAGTGCTAAGTTTTACTCTGTTATAGTTCTTTACGTAAACTATAATACTGTATGCTTTTCGAACTTCAAAAATACGCTCCAATTGGGACATGCTTAGGCGTAGTGTCCTCAGAAAATGATGTTATGTCTTTTGGACTAGTCTTTACTTTGCTATGGTGATAAAACTATAGTGGAAGTCAAAACCAATGCCATATTCGGAAGGAGCATTGAAAATCGATTCATTTCTTACGTTATAAATATTTCTGAGACTGTTTTCAATCAAAAAATTAATCCCAAGTCCTCTCTCCGCGGCCGTAGAAGACATGATGTCCGTCAAAGTAGTATTTTTATCATTTAGACCTCTACTATTTGACATCGATAGACATTCTGGAAGTTCGGATCCTTTGTTCAAGTGAAAATAATTGCGTTTTCGAGACACCCAATTTTGTGCGCTGAATGCGAATCTCAATCCAATTTTTTGATTTTGACAGAGATTGGATAACGTGTACAAGTAGGACTAGTAATCAATAAGAAGACAGGCCATGTTGAGGTCAATGCTAACTCAGTTTTCAAGTTATTTACATTGAAAAAATTAAAATAAAAAGATGCATCTGGAGGAGATGTATGTCCGATTAAAAAAGAGCTATGGTATCATTTGTTTAATGAAAGAGAAATCAGAAATACTACTGCATTAGAACTGTGATTTTTCGAATTTTCGACAGGTTTTGAGGTGGAGCGTTTAGTTTGCTTTGTATGTTGCTCATTGATATAGAAACATTATACATTTGACCAACTTTCTAAAATTTAACCACTCAATCACAAAAATGATCAATCCGTATAAATTTAAAAAAAGACAAAAAGAAATCGTATTTTCCCACTTTTTTTGAAAATCATGATTTTTCAACTAAAATATCCTAGCCAAGGCTTGATGAAGAACAGTTTAATTTTCTACGAATTTATAGGTTATCAAGTGCTGAACACAATGGTCAAGAATCGTCTTGATTCGACACTTTATTACTTTAAATAGATAGTTTTTACAAATGGATCACAAATAACCTAGCAAGGGGCAAAGATTTAAAAGCTGCACGACTGACAGAAAGGTTATTTTTTTCTTAACGTCATGATCTAAGATTTATATTTTACATAGTCATGTAAGGAAAAGTTTTTCTATTTCTATTGGTGGACTAATACTGATATTTTATTTGCATATTAGGAAATAAAAAGATATTGTAACTTGACTTATTTCGATTATTAAATCAACATTAAACAATATTACAGTAAAATGCAATTAATTGTTTTTAATTCGAGTAGTTCATCGACAAACTAAAGCAAAAAACTAATCGAAAGCAGTCATGCATTTTATTGAATGGTATGCAGGTTTACGTGACTTAGAGTTAATACAGCTATCTTGTTTAGATCGAACAGAGTAGCACGATAAGGAGGCGGATCATATTGAATTGTTTTCCTTATTTTTCCGTCTTCTGTAACTTGTAGCAGATATCCAGTCTCATAGTCGACAATGAGCCATTCATTACAAGTCAGTGAACAGCAGCCAAATGCTATATATTGAATGCACTTAATATTAAGTTGAAGTGTCCAGATGCGATCGAATGTTTCTGCATATCTCAATTCAATGCGTACCGATTTCTTGGATAAATTCATAACTATTAGAGCAAGATTTCCGTTATTGTAAACAATATCGCAGATAGTTTCATCTTTGGCACATGTAAGAGGATATTTCCATTCTCTAATCAATTCAATTGCTGGGAACAGTGTAAACTCCATAATAGATGAAGCACGTTCATTTGTACTTACAAAGAGAATTGCATCAGAACATGTACAAGATATTAAGTCTCGTTCTCCAATTCTCTGCACATTATCAATTGACATTGTATTTTCGTCAATGAGAAAGATGTCATTTTCTTCAAGCACAATGAATCGACCTAATGTTGATGACCAACACATGTCTTGAATTTCCCCGTAAGACCATTTTGTTTGTTTGACGATGTTCATTTCTCTATCAAATAAGCGTAAATTTGGATACTGATGTATTAATAAGTATCGATCATTCGCAGTTAATAATCGAAAACTTCCATCAGAGCGATCAATTGTTTTGTAGACAGACGAAAGAGTTGATATATCAAGTTCATGATCAGTCGTTCTTTCAATCGAAACGAGCGTGTCATCTATTAATAATGGACGAGTGGTGATTGTTAAACCTTTTTGTTCGATATTGTTTATATTTCTTTCAAGTTGACGAATACTTGATGTCAATAAATCGATATGTTGACGAGTTGTTTCTTGTATGTGGATGAGTTCAGTTATCTTCAAATGTGTTCGATTGAGCACTGTTCGTTGTTGATCAACTATTTCATTAACAAGTTGATCAAGTTCTTGACATTTTTGTTCAAAAAAACAATCAATCTTCTTATAACACTCTTGACGCCATTGTTCAAGTTTTTCACGGCTACTGTCAATAGTTTTTTGAATATTTAGTGTTTCGAGACAATATCCAAGTACATTAATTTCATCAGTTAAAGGATCCAGTTGAGAAATAAGTAAAGCATTATGTTCATTTAAATGTTGTAAACAAAGATTTTGCTGGCAACAATCACACAGTCCACGTGATGTCCGAGTGCATTTCTCGATCGAACATGATTGAGACATTTGATAGAAATAATCAGATTCGAATGTTCTAGAAATAGTTACAATAGGAAGAGACAATGAAATATGATGTTATTTTCGGAGAAAAAAAGGCTCGTTCACTGAACAAAAGAAAAAAAAAAGATGGTTTTTCCATTCATATAACGTAGGTTAAGATTTGAATTCAATAAACAGATCTCGTACGAATAGAGACTTTATAAAGATAAGTATGATTACTTAAGCTGAAGAGGACTTTTCTTCCGAAAATAGAATATTCATTTTTGGCTTGAAAATATGAGAAAAAAAAAGGATCTGCCTTTATTATAGGTAACATTGTAGACTGTACCTATACTTTTGACCGCGGGTACTTCAAATCAAATAAATACGCAAGAAATATCAATTAACTCATGATATTAAAAACAAGGTGTATGCTTATAGTTTATTTTCCATTTTAAAAATAATTATATCATTTTTTTTTACAAATAAACATAAAAAACGGATGTGTTTCGTATTTTGTCGATATCTCACGAATGGCTGCATGGTTTGGACTCGGAAATATCTCATTAGATAAAAACCAATATAGAGTACAAACTGATTTTATTAAATGACCTCGGATGGATATATGATTAGCTTCCCATTAATGGTATTGATGAAAATACTATTTAACGAGGTTGACTCAAAACTTTAGCGGTAGCAACAACGTTGGGAATTCTGTAGGGCCATGGTTGTAGAGACAATGATGTTCTATCGAATACACTATACAACCATATCGAACTATTCGGCTTTTTGGAAATTTGTATACCTCGTTGTGATTTCCCTATTTCAATTAATGATGATTTTATTGAATATTAAGAAACTAAATGTTGAAGAATAGATATTTTTTCGGCATAACTACGATAACGATAATCAATTGTTTTGATTGTTCAATTGAATTTTAAGCCAAAAAGAAGATAAAATAATTATCATATTCTAATAAATATACTTTTTACCATCCGATTCAGTATGATATGCAGTAAAATGTATGTGAAGCTGAAAGAAAAAGGAAATCAATGCATGGATGAACACATCGTATCAATTAACGAACATATAGTGAGTATGTATTATTTCTTTTTTTTTCTGTTCTGTTTTGCTATAGAAAAAGGAGATATGAGTAATCATAGTTACACTTGTACTTTTTTTTTCTATGTCATGTGATTATGTGAATCATTCGATCGAGAGATTACCTTGGATGGACATTTAAAAGTTTATTTTGTATATAACTAAATTTTTATTATATGATATACTTTATATAAATATTTGCATATCAAGACTGATTAGAGTTTGTTTTTCTTGTAGCAACAAAGTAAAAAAATTTTACTTGAAAAATTACAATAGACAAAACATAAATAAAAATGCGAGATAATTAGATTTCTTAACTTTTTCAAAAGAAAATATCATATTTCAAAATATATATCAATCTCATGTGTTCGTTAAGCATTGATTATATCATTGCAATGAATTCTATAAATAAGAGATTGAATTATGCTAGTAATATGTTTTTGTACTCCATACAACCTAGGTTTTAAAAAAATAAATGTGTGAAGTTAAGATTAAAATAATGTCAAGATATTCATCATCCATTTCATCAGAGCACAACAATTTTATTAAAGTGAAATATAAAAGTTTACGGAAAACAGTGAGGAAAAGATATCGATTTTCGCTATTTCATATCATTTACGGTTTGTTTTTCTTCGATCAGGAATATTTCGCACAAATCATGCAAAAAGAATTGAGTTCATGTTTCGTTTCTTGAGATGATGGCTGATGTTCTTGAAAACTCATAGTTCTAACAAAGGACTCCAGTTTAGAAAGATTACATTTTTCAAATCTTATTGATTGAAGAGTTCGGTATGAATCTAAAATAATTTAATCAAGCGGAAACGATAGAGTTTTTCATGAGCTATATTTTTTTAATTTTTTGATAAAACTTGGTCTACGTAGCCAAAAATTTTAAAAAAATATCGACTTCCGAAATTGCAAGAGCTTTTTGAGAGGTGTTTGACTTTCGGTTTCTTCTCCTTCATAAATTCGTTCTGGAAAAATATTTTTGATACAAAATTTCTAATTCGGACATTATTGTTTTCAACAACAAGAAAAAGTGATTGCTTTAGTAGTCCTTACACACTGATTCTTTTCCTTTCATCATATTCTCCAAAAAACAAATTAATATTCTATTTTTTGATAAGTACCTCCAGTTGAAGTATTCATTATTATTCTTGTAAACTCATTACTTTTACGATATCTATTTAGTAAATTTAAAGCAGAAAAAAAAACAACTTAACATTCATTATACGAATGCAAAAATCAATGAGTTTTTCGTTTCTTCAGCAAACAAATAATTTTTCTCTTGAGAAATAACATTACATTTCATTTTCTCTTAATACAACAACTATATGTAAAACAGTAAAAATTGTTTAGTTTCATCAAATGTCTCAATCATGTTCGATAAAGAAATGCATTCGTACATCACGTGGACTGTGTGATTGTTGCCAGCAAAATCTTTGTTTACAACATTTAAATGAACATAATGCTTCACTTATTTCTCAACTCAATCCTTTGACTGATGAAATTAATGCACTTGGTGATCGTCTCAAAACACTAAGTATTCACAAAGCAATTGCGGATAGTCGTGAAAAACTTGAACAATGGCGTGAAGATTGTTATAAGAAGATTGATTGTTTTTTCGAACAAAAATGTCAAGAACTTGATCATCTTATTGATGAAAAAGTTGGCAAACAACGAGAAGAACTCAAACGAATACAGTTGAAGATAACTGAACTGATCAATACACAAGAAACAACTCGTCAAGATATCGACTTATTGACATCAACTATTCGTGAACTTGAAAGAAATATGAACAACATTGAAGAAGCATGTTTTACGGTCGATACTCGTCCATTATTAATAGATGACACGCACGTTTCGATTGGAAGAACGACTGACCATGAACTTGATCAATCAACTCTTTGGTCTGTCTGTAGAACAATTGCTAGCCCTAAAGGCAGTTTTGCATCGCTAAGTAGCAATGATCGACACTTGTTGAAACATCAAGAACCAAATTTATGTTTATTTGATAGAGAAATGAACATCGTCAAACAAACATTATGGTCTTACGGTACAATTCATGACATGTGTTGGTCATCAATATTAGATCGATTCATTGTACTTGGAAAAAATAATATTTATCTCATTAACGAAAATACAATGTCAATTGATAATGTGCAGAGAATTGAAGGACGAAACTGGGGATCGTGTACATGTTCTGACATAGTTCTTTTTGCATCCATAATTGAACGTGCTTCATCTATTATGGAATTCACATTAGTCCCAGCAATTGAATTAATTAAAGAATGGAAATATCCTCATACATGTACCAACGATGAATTTATCACTGATATTGTTTACAACAACGGACATCTTGCTCTGATAGTTATGAATAAACCTGAGAAATCGGTGCTCATTGATTTAAGAAATGCCAAGACACTCAGTCGCATTTGGACATTTCAACCTGATATTAGATGGGTCCAAAATAAAATATTTCGTTGTTGTTCACTCACTTGTAATGAATGGCTCATGGTCGACTATGAGACTGGACGTCTGCTGCAGATCACAAAAGATGGGAAAATCAAGAAAACAATTAAATATCATCCGGCTCCCTACCGTGCCATTCTATTCGGTTTAAATAAACTAGCTGCATCGACTATGACTGATGTAAGACTACATGCAATTCAATAAAACGAATGAATACTTTCATATAGTGTTTTGCTTAACTTTTTTTTTATTTCCGCGTTCATAAATTTTGACCATAGGAATAAATTTTATAAAATCCTAATAACATATTGGTCCTTGCATATAATCATTCCGAGTTGAAATAGTGTGTGCTACAAGTTCAGCGTTTGTTTCATTAGAAAAGGTCTATTTCAAACAAAATCTTTTACAAAAAAAGTAAAATACTTATTTTTTTTCATTTACTTATTTTGCTAACGTTCGGAATGAAACAACAAAAATTGTATCTATATCTTTACCACCATAAATTGTCGTAGAAAATAATGATGCACATATTAAATGAATTTCATTAGGAAATAAAAATGCATATAAACGTTTTCCGATAATAAAAATTCAAAATTTATTACTATAGAGAAGAACAAAAACTATTGAAACATACTAGAACACTACGATAATTTGAAACAGTTAAAAGTAAATGAAATTTTTCAATTGATATTTGACAAAGATCATGAATCGGATCTCTATGACCTTGCAATAATTTTATTGGAGAAATATCCAGATTTCGATCACGGTATATTCTTTAATAGAAAACAAAAAATTTGAATTTTATTTTTACTCTTCAACATTTCATTGATGAATAAGATTATCTTCAGCAACGAGAACATAAAAGACCATGATATGCAACAGATGTATCACATTTAAATGTAAGATGAACACTAACATAAAATTATTTAAAAATGATGTCTGTGTCGTTTGCAGTTAAATCAAGGTCATGAGTACCTATGAATGTATAAACCATAGAAATATCACTACGACAAGCTTTACCTGTAAACAATAGTAGAAAAAATCCTTCGATTTCAACGAGAGTCATAAATGAGTCCTTTTTTTTTTGAATTGGTAAAACTTAGTTTTTTTTCTGATCAAATAAAAATTGAGCTAATTATCAACACAATTGAAAGGCACTCATGAATTCTGGCTTACTCGCCATCATTTCAATCTATTGTTGATTTAATACAAAGAGATTATTATTTTCAAAGGGTTTGACAAAATAAATCGAGCTTTTCTATTGTCAGATACACAGTTTTACTGAAAAACTTTCTTGGTTATAAATCTGTTACATATTCAATAATTAGTTTCAATACAAGAAAATAAAATTTGATCATTTAATACAAAGTTTTCTTGTATTTGTATTAATTTATTAACTATTTGTTGTATAATCCTCTTTATCAGTATGAATCTCATTTTATGCATAATTCACTTATTAGGAAAAATGCAAAAAGAAAAAAACGTTAATTTCTTTTCAGAAACAAAGTTCTCCCGTGGACAAAAATAAGTTTCTTTTAGTCTTTTCTCTTGTATTATCGTATAAATATTTGCATGTCATTGTATACGTCAATCATATTTACATACACATATTATGTTTTATTTGCATATTCATTTATTCTCTTCTGTATTTATTTCAAAATAACACAAATTAGTGATATTGAGAGAACAAAAACAATAATGCAACAACGAAAAAAATGTTATTTAACCATTTTTGGTTTTAGAGTGTAGGTGTATGTCTAAATATTTCTTTTTGTTTTCAAAATCGATTGTTTTCTGTAGTCGACTATCTTCATAAATTGTCGCCCACACTATTATCAATAATCGATGATAATGCAGCTCTGAACCAAGGTAACAATCTCACTCAAAGATTTTCTCGTTCGACTATTCGAACATTGCATGTACACAGTACTAATCTCGTTATTATAATATAGAATAATTCCAGGTGCAATGGATATGTATATGGCTAAATTGGACAATTGAGCGAGAACTTTGAATGAGATTACTGCCCCTCATTTCAGAGCTGCGTCATCATCGATGATTGGTAATAGTGTGGGTGATCATTTATAAAGGTTATCGACTATAGGAAACAATCGATTTTGAAAACAAAAAGAAACATGTAGGCATACACCGACACTCTAAAACCAAAAATGGTTAAATAACATTTTTTTCGTTGTTGCATTATTGTTTTTGTTCTCTCAATATCACTAATTTGTGTCATTTTGAAATAAATACAGAAGAGAATAAATGAATATGTAAATAAAACATAATATGTGCATGTAAATACGATTGACTTATACAATGACATACAAACGTATATACAATAATACAAAAGAAAAGAAAAAAAAGAAACTTCTTCTTGTCCGTGAGAAATTTCAATGTTGTCTGAGAATATTTTGACCGTCGACTGACTCCTAGACATGTATTAATAAATGTAAAGTTTCTTTTAATATGTACGTTATTATCATATTTATATTAGCAATAGATTTCAAATCAACATTCAATCATTTAACGTTCTATAAAATACTTTGTTATGGTCGAAAAAGTATTCCAACACACCTAATTGATTATTTTTATTTCGAATATATATTTGTTCTACAGTTTTTTTTGTCAGAATTTTCTACTGTTCATTGAAAAGACAAATTATTAAGTAGTTATCACGTGAATTTATATCAAAAGAAAATAAGGCGCTGGAAATGCATGATTAAAACAGAATATTTTTTTTATATATGATTAGATAGAACGTGATGACCTGATCAAGAATATAAATGTTTTCATTTTTTTGGAATGAGTTTTTAGAGAAAAAATTCCACTTTGTTACGATGACTCACTATTTTTAAAAAGTAGATTAATTTCTCGTAGCTCACAAATTGTCAATTATTTTGTTTTCTTTAAATTCAAAAGTGCTTGTTTCAGATTCATCATGAAAAACTGAATGTAGAGAAGTTACTTATAAATGACTTTTCTACATGCAGTTTTTCATGCTGAATCTGAAACAAACACTTTTGACTTTGAAGGAAAGAAAAAAATTAACAATTTGTGGATCACGAGAAATTTGTCTACTTTTCAGAAAAAATGAGTCATCGTAAAAAAAGTGAAATTTTTTCTCTAAAAACTCATTCCAATATTCTACTTTAATTTTACATATCTGATATTTAACGTAGATATGAAAATGCTTCGATTCAAATTAATTCGACTATAACCAAAAAATAAATAGAAGAATGTGTACAACAAGTATTTCTCGTAAATTCTAGCAGAACTCATATCAGTAGCATGAATAGAATTCTGTTCGAAAGTGATGTCGGTAATAACGTGCATATTTTCTCAATAGCTCAATAATTTACTTCATCTGGTGGATTTGAAAAGATTGCAGAGAATTGATGAGATATTTTCATCTTAGTTGTTAGGGAGAATATACCTTTAAAACTTGAACAGAATTGATCCATCTATAATTTCTCAGAAGAACAATTTATCAAAGTCTACTCAACTTTACATATACAGAAATAAGACGTAATGAAATGAATATCCTAATGAATATGAAAAATTCTGGATCCATTATTTCTTGTTATTATTAAAAGTTATATGCAAAAACATTCAACTAAATATAACTTCGTCTATCTTTATTGGTCAAGTAAATTTGATCCTTTATTTGCAAAGAAGAAAATTAAAAAAAACATATTCAAACCAGAACGACCTTGTTCATTTAATCAACTATAAATTACATTTCAGCAATATGTGATTAATTGTTTTAAAGTCAAATTTCTCGTAGAAAAAGTAAAGCAAAAGACTAAATCCAAATGATCATTTATTTTAGTGTATTGTATGCAGATTTATTTCATCGGTAGTCGATATTGCTAGTATATTTGTATCGAACAGCATAGCACGACAGGGAGTCGGATGATATTGAATTGTTTTCTTTACTTTTCCATCTCTTGAAATCTGAATTAGACGTCCAGATTCATAGTCGACAACGAGCCATTCATTACCAGGAAGTGAACAACATCGAAATGCTAGTTTTTGAACCCAATTAATATTAAATTGAAATAACCAGACGGAATCGAACGTCTTTGCATATTTCAATTCAAGACGTAGTGATTTATTCAACACATTTACAATCATCAAAGCTAAATTTCCATTATTGTAAACAGTACTAACAATAAATTCATCTTTGCTGCATGTCAGAGGATGTTTCCATTCTCTAATCAACTCGATTGCTGGAAATAATGTAAATTCCATAATAGATGAAGCACGTCCATTTGTGCATGCAAAAAGAACTGTGTCAGAACATGTACAAGATAGCCACTGTCGTTCTTTAATTGTATATACATTATCAATTGACATTGTATGTTCGTCAACAAGAAAGATGTTATTTTTTCCAAGTACAATGAATTTCTCTAATGTTGATGACCAACACATGTCCTGAATTGCACCGCACGGCCATAATGTTTGTTCCACTATGTTCATTTTTCGATCATATAAACATAAATTTGGCTCTTGATGTATCAATAAGTATTCATCATTGCATGTAAACGGTCGAAAACTTCCCTGAGGACGATGAATTGTTTTGTAGACAGGTGAAAGAGTTGATAGATCAAGTTCATGTTCAGTCACTTTCTCTATAGAAATCAATGTGTCATCTGTTACCAATGGACGAGTATTGATCGTAAAGCATGCTTCTTCAATGTTGTTCATATTTCTTTCAAGTTGACGAATAGTTGATCTCAATAATTCGATATCTTGACGCGTTGTTTCTTGTGCATCGATGAATTCAGTTATTTTCAAATTTATTTGATTGAGTTCTTCTCGATGTGGTCCAACTATTTCATTAACAAGTTGATCAAGTTCTTGACATTTTTGTTCAAATAAACAATCAATCTTCTGATGACAGTCTTCACGCCAATCCTCAAGTTTTTGACGACAATTCGCTATTGCATCATGAATACTTAATGTTTCGAGACGATCTCCAAGTGCATTAATTTCATCGGTTAAAGGATTCAGTTGAGAAATGAGTGAGACATTATGTTCATTTAAATGTTGTAAACAAAGATATTGCTCACAACAATCACACAACCAACGTGATGTACGTGAGCATTTCTCGATCGAACATGATTGAGACATCAGATAAAAATAATAAAATTCTGATGATCTAAAAATAACTGCAATTAAAAGAGACAATTAAATATGATGTTATTTCTTTAAAAAAAAAGTGTTTTTTTTCCTGAACGAACAAAAACGGATTGTTTTTGCATTTGTGTAGTGAAAGTTACGGTGTTTTTTTCAACTTTAAATTCAATAAACAGATGTCCTAAGAATAGCGATTGTACAAGAGAAACTATGATTATTCGTCCGCAAATAGAATATGATAAAAGAAGGGAATTTTTTCAAATTATGCGTAACATTGTAGACTGTTTACAAATGTCATATTGAAGTTACACTGGTGGGCAAAGGTTACAACTTCGATAGAAAAAGATAATTGAAATTACTTTAAATCAAATCAGTACTAGATAAATATGAATTAATTAATGATATTAATAACAAAATAAAACACTTATATGGGTTTTTTTGCAAATAAGCATAAAAAATGGGTGTGTTTCGTATATTGTCGTAAGCTCAGGCATGGCTAGATGGTCTGGACTCAGAGATATCTCATTAGATAAAAATCAGTATAGAGCACCAATTCATTCTATTCCAATGATTAACATAGAAAGTAGACAGAACAGTCTAACTGAAAAACTGTGAAAAACTTGAAAATAGATCCTTCTGCTGAAGCAGTATTTCAGACTTTTCCTTTGTGACGCAAAGGATATTATAGTTCTTTTTTCAACCCGACATAGATTACATCCGGATGCATCTTTGATATTGAACTGTTCAATACAAATAACTTGGAGACCTAGTTAGCATTAACCACAACGTGGTCTACACTTATTAGTGCTCACTAATCTTTCCTGTAGAAGTCATGCAATCTCGTCCAATAATTGAAAAATTTCCTTCACATTCGTGTTTAGCACATGAAATCAGGTCTCTCAAAAACATTGTTGTTCCAGTGGAGGGAATGACTTATATTTCCAGAATAATAATACATGCAAAGTAAGAGAAGACTAAATAATAAGAATATTATTTTCAAAGCATCATATCCTATACGAACTCGGGAAGAGGACTAGGAAAAAGTTTTCGACGAAAAAGAGTCTCAGAATCATTCGTAACATAGAAAACGAGTCGATTCTGAATGCTCCTCTTGGATATAGCATCAATTCTGATCATTATTAACCAAAGACTAGTCAATAAGGTGCCATACCGTTTTCTGAGAGCAATGCGCCTAAGTATGACTCAAGTGACACATGTTTTTAAAGTTTAGATCCTATATAATATTGTAGTTTTCGAAAAAAGACTATAAAAAAGTAAAGGCTAGAAATCGATACCTCTTATCATTCATAAATTATTATCGACACGGTGATACCTTTCTACCGTTCATATATCTGTAAAGTACACTCATGACACTGAGCTTGGTGGACACTAGAAAAACAAGACTCTTATGTAATTTTTACCATCCTAATTCGTACACTAAACACGAATCTGAAGTTATTTTCTCATTGTTGAAAGAGATTGCATGACTTCTATGGAAAAGATTAGTGGACACGAATAAGTGTAGACCACATCTTGATTACTGCTAATTCAATCTCCAAGTTATTTACATCGGACAATTCAATATTAAAAGATACATCTGTACGAAATCTATGTTCGGACAAAAATGAGCTATAGTGATACTTGCCCCATAGAAGAAAAGTTCGAAATACTACTCTACAAGAAGGGTACATTTTCAACAGTTTTTGTGTGAGAGAATTTGGTCTACTTTCTATGTTGGTCATTGAAATAAAATGAATTTGTACTCTATACTAAATCTTTGTCTAATGAGATGTCCCCGAACTAAAACTATCCAATCATTTCTGGGATAAGATCAAAATACTAAACACACGCATTTTTACCGATTAAAAATAGTGACAAAATGGAATCCTTATTTTTGTTTCATCTCGCGTTTTACACGAGTAAAACCAAATGATTTAATATTTTGGATTTACTAGTGGTTTCACTGGATCTTTCATTGTACGAAACTGAATTCGAAAGTTAAAAGATTTTATTCGATGGATATCTTTAAACTCCTTACTAACGGTATTGGTGAAAATACTATTTAACTAGATTGACTCAATATTTTAACCGTATCAACAACTCTGAGAATTCTGTGCGATCATCATTGTAAAGCTACAGACGCTCTATCAATACACTATACTACTATATCAAGCAATTCGGCTTTTTGGAATAATCGTGGATGGAAGATAGCACTATATTATTGTTTGATTGGTAACTCGTCAGACCATATTTGGCGGTTCCTCTTCATTCTAACTCATGCCAGGTTTAGTATTATCAGAAGAGCCTTGTTATGAGGAACTTGATTATGGTATTGAATTTAATTTTTGACCTTGCTTCGATGTACACAACTATCTAGAACAAGTGAAGAAAATTGTGTTTTTTAAAGAGGTTTTTAACAGAATGGTTAGATCTATAAGCTCTGGAAACCTCAACGAAATTAGAGATCACTTTTGTACATGTGGTTGTGAGCTAATGAAAATACACAAAATGAAAAGTCAACTAATTATAAATATATATTTTGTTTTTTATATCGTGAATTATAATTGATATATTTTTGGTATTTAGTTGAATTAAAGTAATAATGGATTTTCCTAGAGCTAATTTTTATATGCTGCATGTATGTTAAGTAACTCTAGAAACCCTGTAACGACGTGACATAAAAAAGAATATCGACTTGTATCTCATGTATTTTAGTTGTAAAAAACTTCGACTTGAGACAGCATTTTTGAAAACTAAGTAGTACATTCTGTAGACAACTCTTGAGGTTATAAAATCACTATGCAAAGTTTTTTTCCTAGCTTGCCTAAATTTTTCAAAAAAAAACTCAATTAACTTTTCGTTAGAGATGTCATCGAGTACAAATATATATGTAAACGAAAAACATACTCTTGTAAACTGAATGAGAAATTCAAAACTAATTCTAAACAGTACAACTGATATAATTAGAAAATACAAATAAATTTTAAACTAAAAAAAAGATAAAATAATTATCATATTCGTATATATGCACTTTTTTCTTACCATTAGAATCAGTTTATCATGCACTAAAATATAGGTGAGAATGAGAAAACAAGAGAATAAATACATGGATGAATGCATTGTATTAGTTAACAATAGTTGGCGATTGGATGTTTTGTCTTTTTTTTTCTCTATTCTGTTTTACTATCGAAAAAGGAGACATGAGTGGTTACAGTTACACTTGCCCTTTATTTTTCGATGTCACTCTGTTTATATGAATCAGCAGACAAAAACAATAGCCTTCAGTAGACATTTGATATTTTATTCCGTATATAACTAAACTTTTATCACATGATATACTTTATTATGATATTTACATGTCAAGATTGAATAGACTTTATTTTTCTTGAGGTAACAAAGTAAAAAAACAAATTACATGAAAACTTGCAATAAACGACACATAAAGAATAATGCAAGATTTTTAGATATTTTTAAACTTTTTAAAAGGAAATATTATATTTACAAGTACATGTCAACGTTTTACACTTCTAGATTGAATTATGTTAGTAAGATTTATTTGTAATCAATAGAAACTATATTTTAAATGCATATCATTCAAAAATTCTGGTTTTTGTTTAATTTATTTTAGTTGCATGAAATTAAGATTAAAATAATGTCTAGAATAATGATCATGCATTTCATGAGAGCACAAAAACTTTATTAAAACAATATAGTAAGTCTATCATATAATTAAGATTTGTGTGATGAATCTATTTTGATATTCTAGTTCATCTGAAAAAAAGAAACTTCAAAAAAAAAACATGATCTTCGTTGATAATCAAATCATGTACCCATGTAGAAAGCGATGAAAATTTTGAAATAAAAAAAGTCGACAAACACAATGACACTAGTTATTATTCTTATTCATTGATGATTAATTCAAAAATGTTTTAAAAGTAAACAAGACTAAATAAAATTTTGAAGAATTCAAAATAAAACACCTCGGCAATTTCGATTTAAAAAAAAGAAACAATCTGAGCATCCATCTCGTAGTTTTGAATGCTATCTTAAGAATGATTAGTATCATCACAAATAAATTTGTTTGAAAATAATGTTTTAACAAGTCAAATATCTTTTTTATCGTCATGTCATATTCAAAAAAAATGCCAGAAAAAAAACATTTGATGAATTATATATGATATAGAGGGTGTTTCAATCGTCACTGTAGAAAAATAAATTTGAATATTTCCCTTATGATTCTATCAGATGAAATGGATTTTACACTGATGATAGAGAACATCTACAAGTTTCTATTCATATATTCAAAGTTCTTAAATACCCCTACAAACAAAGTAATACTTTCAAGTTCAATACACATTAAAGTCCTTTGTCGATTTTGGAAAAGCAATAGGTCAGTTTTGTCTTATATTTCTTTAACCTTAGTACTACCGGCCTGGGTCATTTTGGATCCGGACTCAAAAATTTCAAAATACACGAGAAAGATTTTATTTTTTTTCCTGGTTTTTGGAAGCAACTAGCATCCCTTGCTAATAGATATACGTTGTTGAACCTAAAAAGCAATTCATTTTTTTTTCTATAACATTACGCAACTTTAATATGATATAATGACCTCATTACTCAATATGACACAAGAAAAAAAGGCAAGTCAACCTTTAATCTACAATTGAATGAATCATCTACCATTCTAATTGGATAGTTCAAAACTACTTCAAAAGATGTCTTTTAACGAATCTGAAATATCCAGTTGGAGTAGTAAATGACTCATTGCATTGCAGTTTCGAAAATTTAACTTGAGCCCCTTTCTTGTTATATGTTTGTTGTATACTGAAGATGTGTTATTCTACCCAAGGCTTGTTATAATGTAGAAAACAAATGAACTTCTTCTTAGATTTAATAATATATATCTATTCGTGAGAAATACTAGTTGCTTCCAAAAACCAGGAAGAAACAAAATCTTTCTAGTGTATATTGAATTTCATAAATACTCGTGACTG